ACAATATTTTTCTCTGGTTTCTTTAAATTTGGACATCATAAAAGTATTTATTTTTATTAGATTTCTTCATGTTTTTTTTAAACAGGAAGCTGTTTTAAATGTTTATTTTTATTGTTCAGATTTAGAGTCTCTGTAGTAAAAAGTACAACATAATACTGTTAAAAACATGAAGTTAAACTTTTAATTTTAATTGTATTTTATTTTACTGGAGCATCAGCAGGAGGAAAACTGAGCTTTCCTTTCAACTTGGCTCCGCCTCCTTTCTCTCTGCATGAACCAATCAGAGAAGAGACTTTCCAGGAGGAKGATGGTTCTGCTCAGGAGGTAAAACCCGTTCAGTCTGGGTTCATCAAGACCAGGTGGAGATGTTTACCCTGCAGGAACCTCTGGTCTGGACTCTGGTCTGGATTCTGGTCTGGACTCTGGTCTGGACCAGGAAGTGAAGAACTTCATGGGTTTTTCTTTTCGCTGGTTGATCCAAGTCAGCAGATCCGGCTCAGTTTGAATATTTCTCAGATAAAAACCTCTTTCAGGCTTTAAGAACTTTTTTGTTCTACGTGAACTTTACAATGAGAACCTGCTGCTGGTTCTGGAGGACCACTTTGACTCTTCTGCTCCTCTTTCAGCCCGGCACCGCCCAGTATGAGAACTGGATCTCTGTCCCGGATCATGGATTGTGTCAGTCCATCTCCATCCCGCTCTGCTCGGACCTGCCCTACAACCGGACCATCATGCCCAACCTGCTGGGTCACAGCAGTCAGGAGGAGGCCGGGCTGGAGGTCCACCAGTTCTACCCTCTGGTCCAGGTCCGGTGCTCCGTGGAGCTCCGGTTCTTCCTGTGCTCCATGTACGCTCCGGTGTGCACAGTTCTGGACCGGGCCATCCCACCCTGCAGGTCTCTGTGTGAGCGGGCTCGGCGGGGCTGCGAGGACCTCATGAACAGGTTCGGTTTCTGGTGGCCTGAGAGTCTGAGTTGTCAGAACCTCCCRGTCCACGGGTCCGGGGAGATCTGTGTGGGTCAGAACATGAGTGACTTTAATAGTTCCACCTCTGAGCCGACTCAGACCACCTGGATCACCTGCCCCCCACAGCTTCAGGTACCCCCTTACCTGGGGTACCGGTTCCTGGGGGTGGAGGACTGTGGGACTCCCTGTGAGCCCTCAGAGCCCGGGGGACWGATGTTTTTCACTGAGGAGGACCTCAGGTTCAGCCGGGTCTGGGTCGGGACCTGGTCTGTTCTGTGCTGYCTCAGCACTCTCTTCACCATCCTCACGTACCTGCTGGACCCTGGGCGGTTCCAGTACCCAGAGAGACCGGTCATCTTCATGTCCGGCTGCTACTTCATGGTGGGGGTGGTCTACGGGGCTGGGTCTCTGCTGGAGGACCGGGCGGTGTGTGTGGACCGGTTCAAGGAGGACGGGTACAGGCTGTTGGTCCAGGGAACCAGGAAGGAGGTCTGCACGGTCCTCTTCATCATCCTGGACTTCTTCAACATGGCCGCCTCTGTGTGGTGGGTCATCCTGTCCTTTAGCTGGTTCCTGACTGCCGGGCTGAAGTGGGGTCACGAGGCCATCGAGGTCCACTCCCAGAACTTCCACCTGGCAGCCTGGGTGGTTCCGGCTGTGAAGACCATCACAGTCCTGGTCCTGGGTCAGGTGGAGGGGGATCTGCTCACKGGGGTCTGCTACGTAGGACCTACTGATGCACTCTGGACCTTCGTCCTGACCCCGCTGCTCAGCTTCCTCCTGGTCGGGACCACCTTCCTGCTGGTCGGKTTCSTCTCGTTGGTCCACATCCGGTCCATCATGAAGCAGACCGGCACCAGGACCGAGGGACTGGAGAAGCTGATGGTTCGGATCGGTCTGTTCGGAGTTCTGTACGTGGTTCCGAACATTGCCATCATCGCCTGTAACCTGTATGAGCAGAGGTTCTGGTCGGACTGGGAGTCCACGTGGCGCCTGCGGACCTGCAGACACTTCGGTGTCCCGTGTCCAACCGGAAATCCAACTCCCACCTCGCCGAGTCTCACCGTCTTTCTGATCAAGTACCTGATGACCCTGATGGTTGGGGTCACGTCCGGGATCGGGATCTGCTCAGGGAAGACACTGCAGGCCTGGAGCCGCTTCTTCAAAGACTGAGCGACGAGCAAAAACTGTCCATCTAACCAAGTTTTAAAATCTTATATCAGCCAAAAAGTCTTTTTGATCTTGTTTTCAGACTGATTTACTAAACAAGAACTGATTGTGTAAGAATAATCATCTTGTTTTCAGAATGT